CCCATTCCAGGTTTGCTTACGGATTCGATGGCAGCCCGAAATGTCACAGAGATGTCAGGGTTGTTGAGAAGACTGAGACACATAGATATTCGGATCTGTTTTTTGCAAGACGCACATCGAACATTCAATAGGCTAGCAGAAACACTCCGTTCACTTCTGTATCTGCTGAATTAGTGTTCTGTGGCTTTCCTCAAAAACCAACACCTGCGAATGGCTCTTGTGCACCCCTACACATTCAAGATTGTGCTTTGGAGGCGATCCCCAGAACATTCGAGAATCTAGAGCGCCAAAGTTTAAAGGGTTCCCTTTTTTTCACCCTTCAACAAGGTTGTTTTCACCCTCTCTTTTTTTCCACCCTCAAAACCTTTTTTTGTTCACCCTCAAAGGTCCTTTTTTTCCGCACTCTTTGGAACCTTGTTTTTCACCCGTCTAAAACATTGTTTTCACCCTGCACCCTTCCGTTTTCACCCTGTACCATGTTTCTTGCACCCTTCACATTGCTTTCTCACCCTTCACCTTTTCTTTTTCAGAAAACAAAGTTATACGGGTGTGGTTTTTACGCGTTTTTGTGGTTTGCGGTTGTTCCGCGTGGTTTAAAAATGTTTGTTGTTTTGCAGAATGTGTCTAGCAAAAATGTCGATTTGTAATCTGTCAGATCTCTCATCAAGCTTTTCCAAAAATACTAGCTCTCATGATTCCCACACGGAAGTCCATCAACCATCATCTATCAGAAAGTCCATGACATCACATCATACATCATCATGTCATCACCTCTATGAGGGGGATCTGGTCTTCAAGACCTCCAATCTCAATGAGTCCTCAATCTCCAGCAACTGGGGCCTGGGCCTCTCCGGGCGGGGCGGGGGCGAAAAAAGAAAATGCTCGTGGAATAGTACAACCAATTCTTTTTTTTTCGCACCACCCCCTTTATTTTTCGCTCCCCCCCCCCGGAGAAGCCCAGGCCCAGGCCCAGTTGCTGGAGATTGAGGACCGATTGAGATTCGAGCAGATCTTGCAAGAAGGACTATGCCAAGTGACGGTCCCTATTTCCAAGGAGAGAAGGTTTTTATTTGGACTCAGGATTCATCAAAGTTCAAGGATAAAGGACGTTGGGTTCGTGCCACAGTACTTGGACAAGAAGGAGCTATGGTCCAAGCCAACACTGGTAAGGCAGTGGTACGTGTGAATCAGTCAAAGGTTAGACGTGATCACGATGAGTGGCATGATGTTTCCATACCGGCATTAGACGATGAGAATCCGGAGAACTTACGTGAGGATCACGATCTGTATGTTGATGCCGAATTTGGAGAACAGTCCTTTTTCTTTTGTAATGATGATCATCCTGATGTTGTTGAGTTACTTCATGGAAACAGTGGATTATCTAGGTTCCTTTCGAAGAATGGTGTTAGAGTTGCATCGCCTATGGATTTCAAGGCAGGATACAACTTTTCCACTCTGAAGGGTCAAGATGGTATTTGGCAGCAACTTGAGAGGTTGCAGCCCCACTGTGTGGTGATCAACAACCCTTCTCCCAAACAAAATAGAGCTTCGATTTGGTTGCTATGTTGCAATGTGATTGAGTGGCAGTTGAGAAGGAAGAAACATGTGTTTGTGACTGTTCCCAAGGGAAACAAGTTTTGTCTGTTTTTGCAGAAGTTCATTTCTTCTCTGAAGAATCCGATTTTTAACTTTGATGTGAACATGAATTGTTTCTGCTATTGTCCTAAGGGATTTAGTTACGTGACAGTCTTCCATTCCTATGCATCCTGCCAAGGATGGAAAGGTATTGGTGACTGTTCATTTCAAGCTAAAACAGTGCAAGCCACTAGAAGCAACCAGTACTTCAAGGATCCTGACTGGAAGAAGTTTCCATTTTCATTCCTGGTTGAGATGAATCGTTTTCTTCCTTATACTACTGAACTGATCAGAACTTTGAGGCAGG